TTATCTGGCGCGGCAGCGGAGTTTCGCCCCGGCGACGTGCGCACGAGCACCTTCGCCTCCATATCCCACGGCGGTAATCCGGCAAGGAGGTTCGCCGACTCCCCGAAGATCGTGTGGTATCCGCGGATCATTCGGATCGCCATAACCCTCTGTGCCATGAGCAGTGCCCGAGCGGGCCGCCGCATCAAGTTCAGCGCCCACACAGGGGCGCCGTAGAGGGCCATGGACCGCACGACCCCGGCGTATAACCTCCGGCAGGAAGCGTTTGCCCCCCCAAGGTTGGGGAGGATGCGCTTGAACGCAGCCCCCGTCCTCTCCAACTTTGGAGCCAAACGTCGGAAGTGCTCCACGAAGTTCCACAGGCTGTCGAGGACGAGTCCTAGGTACTTCATCGCTGTCTTGACGCCGATGGTAACCCCTCCCGCCGTTATTTGGGACCCACCCGTCTCCGGCCACCGTAAGCACGGGACTGCGGTCGGCGAGCACGGATGACTCGCCGCCCGATCAGAACCAGACCCGAGCGTACGGCGTGTCGCGTTCCGCATACGCCCCAAGGAGCCATCAGACCTTCTTTTCATCAGGATTTCTTCCTCAGCAGGTATAATGTAAGATCACCTAACATCAGGATTTCGTTGAGTATCAAATTACGAATCTTGATACCTCGATCCAAACCGCGGTATCACCTGAGATCGTGTGGATATAGGTTTATTAATTAGTCTCGACATTAGGATGCTGATCGCATCTTGAGAACGTATCAACTGATGCCGGTCTTGACATCGTGATTGAGACCTATTTATTAATACGGGCCCTAGATATCGAACGTCCGTATATAGCTATTGAACGTCCACGTATAGCTATTGTGTGTCCGTAATAAGTAAATAATATAATAAGAATATGTCTTATTACTAGAATGTTCTAATTATCTCATAAATAGTGAAAAGTGTATATTATATTGTTCAGTGGCATTAAGTGCCTTAATGTGCACCTCTGCTTACCCCTTCGGGGATAAAAGGCGTGATGTTATGTTATGTTATATCGAGTGGTCGCAATTGCGACTGCCGGATAAGGGGTCTCGGGTTCCCGGGTCGGGCAAAGTATTACTGGGTTTTTAAAGAATTCGCAGTAGTAGCACGGAGTCTGGAACTGTGCCCGGTATATGGCAATAGGCTCACCCCCTATTGCATGGGACTCATAACATAAATAGTGAAAAGTGGGTGTTACATTGTACAGTGGTCATTAAGTGCCGTAATGTCCACCTCTGCCTACCCTTCGGGGATACAAAAGCGTGATGTTATGTTATTATGTATGTTACTCCAGACCATTATCTACCTCTGTTCCAAAATTATTGTGTCCCTTCGTCCAGCATACTCACCATGGAATCCTGATATTTCATGAATGTCAAAAAACTGTTCTGAAATAGTGCTAAATAGTGCCCAAAGGAAAAAAATAGTGCTCTTGTACTTGCGAAGTTATAGCCATAGTTCGATGAGTATGCTGGACGAAGGTTTCGCCCAGCATACTCACCTCCGTCCGGAGAATCTGTATACGCTTCAAACATAATTCATACTTCAAAAAATAGTTCCCAAATAGTGCCAAACGGTGCCCAAAAAGAAAAAACAGTGCTCGAATAACTTCGGAGTTATAGGCTTCGTTCAGTGAGTATGCTGGGCGTAGGTTCTACGCCCAGCATACTCACCTCAGTGCGCGAATATCGAACGAGCTATAGGTACAATTTACGTCTCAAAAAATTGTGCTTGAAATAGTGCCCAATATCAGTCCAATTTTTGCTTGACTTTTGAC